TTTAAAAAAAAAATGTTTAGTGACTGCCTACTAGGTAGCTAGCCATATGTCAGACACTCAATAGTATTTATTCCAAGTGCCTAATCTCCTGTGAGTTTGGAAGAGACACCCAGGGACCTCACACCATTTTTGGACTTTATATTCCAACCTTTGTTTAGATGAAAAATATTCACACTGTTGGAAGCTTTTTCTAGGGGAATAGACAGAAAGAAGACCTAAGAAAACCTAGTACAACCCCCAGGGCTATGCAGAGCAGAAATTGGTTGGTGACAGATATTAGGTGTTCTTGGACAACTGTATGTTACCTAAGAACAGTTCTGTCTTTACATGCATTTACAGCATAAGCATCTTGAAAAAGGGATGGTTAGATATGATAATTTTAAAAATAATAATATTTGAAACTTAAAGGATTTAGAATACAAGTGTAATACAGAAAAAACAAGTTATTAATGGAAGTTCTTCCAATATTTTCTACAAGGGCAGAGGGGGAAAGGAAGATAATTCTACTTTCACTTAGGTGTTAGTCCACCAAAGCAAAACCCTTGAAATTTATTTCTATGAACTAAAATATATTTTTTAGTTAAAATGTATGCTTCCACCTGGGCACAGTGGTGCATATCTGTAATCCCAGCAGCTCAGGAGTATAAGACAGGATGATCACAAATTGAAAGCCAGCCTCAGCAACAGTGAGGTGCTAAGCAATTCAGTGAGACTCTGTCTCTAAATAAAATACAACATAGGACCAGGGATGTGTCTCAATGGTCGAGTGCCTCTGAGTTCAATCCCCAGTACCTGACCCCCAAAATGTATGTTTCCAGCACTCATTCACTGTAAAACTTTAGGAGATTAGGAACAGAGGGAAGCTTCTTCAACTTGATAAAGAGATTCTTTAAAAAATCCACTTTCAGCTAACAATACACTTGCCGGTGGCAAACTGAATGCTTTCTCCCAAGCATCAGGAATAATTCAACAATGTCTGCTCAGTCACATATAGAAAGACAAGTAAAAAGGTTCATTGAGTGTAGATTAGTGATTTGGACATGTTGGGAAGTAAATAGAGGCTGGATTTGGGCCGTGTGGAATATAAGTATGTATTGAACATAGCAGCAAATCCTATTATTATGTGCAATTGTCATACATTAATCAAAGATTTTAAAAATATTTTTGTGATGCTGTAGATTGAACCCCAGACTTTGAGCCTGCAAGGCAAGCACTATACCAACTGAGCTAAACCCAGCACCCAAAGTTTTTAAAAAGTGAAGATAGAGATTGTATGGGAATCCACACACATACACATCAGCCTCATCTAAAA